AGAATTATATTACTTGGCCGAAAGATTCGAAATCATTGATTTAATGGACAAAACCATGGATGCGATTCAGTTTCATGCTTATCGATTTGATCGAGAGATTTATAAGCACATGCCGGAGGTCTACAAGAATACTACGAGGAAAAGCTCCTTACGATTTTACTGTGGTCTGAGTGCGGCATGGTATTTTGGTCGACCAAGTTCTCCAAATAGTCAGAAATTGAAACGTCTCGAGGGTTTCAAAGATAAAGCGGACATTCTTTACGATATTATGAAGATCCAGTTGCGATTTGAATCCAGCATCTCGAATGCGACCAGTGATTACCGGATTCCTTCTGTTGGAAGTGGACTTGACCCTTGTACTTTTCATACACATACGACAGGTGAAATCTGTCAGCGCCTGGCTTTACTTGCATCATGGAAACCCTCACATGATTACAAACATCGCGAGAAAATTCATACAATTGACAGTAGGCAGAGCCAGAATGTTCCAATGTGCAATGGAATGAAAGACTCTATGCAAGGAAGTATCAGTGCTAGTGGAAATCCAGAAGTGATGGAGGATAGTGACGACGACGGGGATTATGAGGACGACCTCCTAATTTTGACACAAGAAAAGACTCAACAAAGGACCACAACGACCCATACGAAGAAGATTAAGAAAGAAGATGACGAAGAACAAAATGATATAAATCAATCTGCGAGCACAATTGTTGTGGGGAAGAGGCCGAGGAGTCCGAGTCCAATACTAGGAAGCACTCAGGATGATGTTTCAATTACAGGGAAACGACCTCTTGAGACCAACGATGAGGACGCCTCGAGTAGGAAGCGACCATTTGTTATAGTCGGTGGAAATACTTCACGGGATAGAAGATCTGAACCTACAGGTCCTAGTCGAGGGATACAGCAACAACAACTTCATGCTACACTAGGGATTCGCAAAAATCACAACGAAGATCTCTCAGCCAGTATCAAATAAAGAACCCCAATTACTACTATGAGGAACGATACAAATCATACTACATCTGGCTCCATAATGTCAAATTATGGCCGTGGTGTCGATACATCCAGGGTTAGTACTTTCGTATCTAATAATCCCAATCCCACTTCTCCTCAGGATTCCAATCTTTCACAATAAACTTGTAGTGACTTTAACAGATTTTACCGGGGGTGCGATAATGGGGAATGCAAGAGATTACATGCATGTCGTATTTGTAGGGGGGATCATTCTGCTTTATATCATTAATATCTAACCAATACAAAATATCGTAAAGCCAAATATCTCAGGGATAAATGTGACCTAGATTTGTAACATTTTTGAGTTTGACAAGATGTGATGTAGCTTATGAAAATCAGCATTCAATATTCGATAGTGAGAGAAGGAAGGAAGGAAATATGTATCATATCACATGCTTTCGAGACATTGGTCCGTGCAAAGTCGCGTCTTCCTCGATCAGCCATCCACCCCTCAATTTCACCCTTTACTCTTCAGCCTTGCGCTATACGATTTCACTTCAGCTGAGACCTCAATCCTTTTTTCGCTTTTCTGTGTATGATCTCTGGAGTTTTACAATACCTTATTGAGACTTATATCTTCATACAAAATCAACCTCTATTCATTCCTCCACAATGGCTTCCAGTGAGGCAAACGAAAGGAATGAATGGCCCATTACTCCAGAGTAAAGACCTCAATCTCTCAATATATCAGCTCAATGCTAATTCTCTATAGCATTCTAGGGATTGAAACTGCAACAATTTGCAACATTGCATGCAAAGAGCAAGAAATCACTTTCCATACCAAACCATTGACTCGACTTTCTCCCAAATTTGCTCAGTTTTGTCGGAGGAAGAAACAAGCTGATGGTAGATTCACTCTTACGTGTGCTCAGAACAAGTATGATACTTTCACATGTATTGCACTTTATGCATACCATGGAAAAGTACCAACAGCACCAATGGAAATCGATCCAATTTATACCCAACGTCTAAGATGGATTTATTATGTGGCGGAGGAATTTGCACTTCACGACTTGATGAACAAGACAATTGATGCAATTAGAACCTATGAGTTCAAACACAAACAGGAGATTCATTTTCACGTGGAAGAAATTTATCGAAATACTTCAAAGGGAAGTTTATTGAGATGGTATTCCGCAGCATCAGCAGCCTGGTCTTGGGGTCGAGAAACTGGACCTGCAACTGCATCACAAAGGGATAATCGCAAAAAGTTTATTTCTGCTGGTAGAGGCAATCCGGACATATTTGCCGATTTTCATCTAGTGGATCTCTTCCATAGAGATCATATTAGAGGTTTTGATACGGATTGGCGAGATGTTCATGATTCTGGATTGCCAGTTTGCGCATTTCATTGCCATGCACCAGGAGAAACTTGTCATCGTACGGGAATTACTGAACCAGCGGAAGTTCCAGAACACATCTCAAAGACTTTTGACGGGGTTAAGGATGCTGTATTATTGGAACGATCACAAATTATCGATACTCCTTCAGATCAGGATATGCGTTCGAGTGCTCGGCAGAGTACTCCGCCAGAATCCCCTGAAGCAGATGCTCGTCAAATGGAAGATTCTAATATGCGATCCAATGTTGAAAACAATACTCCTTTGTTGAGCGCTGAGCATGAAAATATTCTTCCGAGTGTGGGTGAATCAAATGGAACAATGAATGACGGCAAAGATACGAGAACACCTCAAGCGAGTACAGCAGCGGCGTCTAAAATAAGAGAAGTAGAACAAGGTACAAAGGCATTTGCAGCGGTTCCATTGGCACTTATTAGAAATCCACCCTCAACGAGAGTCGTTCCACCAGAAAGCAAAAAGATTGATCGTCCGCATAAAAGTGCTTCAACAAATTTAGAAAATGAAGCTCCAACTGAAGATCCTTATGGCAATTCTGACGTCGATATGGATCGTGAAGATCCAGAAAGCTCCAGGAGACAAACAAAACAAACCACCGCCAGATACGACGAGCAACTTGCAAGTGCGTGGGGAGTGCCATTATCATCATTGCCTCCACAAAAGACTCGGATTGTACCTGGTACAGTCGTTCCAACCACTAAGGTTGGGGATTTTAAACGTCCCCAAGTCAATCGTACTGCTCCGGATATTCGAGAAAGCCCCGCCTGTGAGAAAGACAAAAATCAGAATATCAAGACGGGTACGAAGAAAAGAAAATCAATTGTAAGTGAAGATGAAACTAATCAGGATCCTCACTTTGCCGTCACCAAGAAGCCGAAGACCGCGCATCTGGGGACTAAGGCTACCATCAAAGCTTCTGGATCGCATAAAGTTACTGGGAAAAAACCATCCGTAGTCCAAGATTCTGATACTGAGTCTTCGGAAGAAGATAGTTCAGAGCTTAGTACGGAGCTCAGTTCAAGCGATGAAGATGGAGATGAAGACGAATACGATAAGATAATTGATGATTGGTCATCTGATGAAGATTCGAGCTCTTGGGAAGACCAGAAATCTACTCAAACTGGAATACATCAGGATTCTGATTCTAGCAATAATGATAGCGAATCTGAAGAACAAGAAACAGAACAATCATTCATCGATTCCGGTATCCATTCCCATACATCATCAAAAGCCACCTGTTCATCAGTACTTATTCAATCCCAACCCTCATTCAGTCACCCAGGTACTTCCAATTCACAAGATATACCTGGAGTAGCACCCTTACAACCTGGATATTGCCTAATCTACAACTATAGAGGACGTTGCAATAAAGCATGTGGACTTCAACACTTATGTCTAAAATGTGATCTTCAACATTCATCTCTCCATCATCATCAGTACCAGCCCAATTTTCGAGCCGTGAATAATGATCCATCCATCGAGACATGTCCAAATTGGAATGCTGGTAGATGTGCCGTCAGAGTCACGAATTGTACTTTGCGACATATCTGCTCGATATGTAACGGTGGACATCGAAGCATCTATCACGAGCACGAGGATGCATTTCCCAAGAGTGAAAAATCAGGCCGTGATCGCACAACCAGAGAATCTCATCATTTCCATCGAGAAGGTCGTCTCGATCATCACCAATCTCAGACAAATTCTCCACACATCTCGGGTTCTATGACAGAGAATTGGCCCGACAATTCTCATTCGCCATCTCGTCGACAAACCTTGAATCAAAATGAGGAGACTTCTACACGGGATCCAAATCTTGAGTTACCATTTGCTTCTTGTCAAATGTGGCAACGGGGGACTTGTATTAGGAAGAGGACTAGATGTCAATTGGCTCATATTTGTGAGAGATGTGGACAGTTGACTCATAGGACTGCTAAGCATGATACTTATATGAGCAAGACGGCTCCTAATGCTTAGAGGGTATTTGGTGATTTATCCGCTTGCTAGTTCGCGTGGTTACCGTGTTATTTGCGTCTAAGGTGGTTTTTGCTTGGGGTTTTTTGCTTTTTTTACTATTATTCTTCTTCGTTTTCGCTGCGAAATTCCTGCGATTACTTGGTTCAAATATTTGAGGAGAATATTTGGGACGGACGGGTTTGTCGATCCGCGGAACTCTGCATTTTTTACCTTCTCATCTTGCGTCTCGCGATCGTATTTCATGAATTTATAAAATAAATTTTATTTAGATACAGAATATCAGCATCTACAATTTGAAATATTGCATATCTTTGCGAATTTCTGAAATTTTCTATGAATTTCATGCACATTGATCGATGTCGTGTTTATATTTCCCCTTCATTTTCGGATATTTCACTGAAGGTTAGTTAGTGGGCCCCACGATCCCCCCCCAAAAAAGGCACTCCGCTTACCCATTCTTCATTCAGCACAAAAGCCAAATAATATAATAAACAAAGGACCCCAAAACATGCTAATAAAAACAGAACGAGAATTACAGCGTTCCCTACCCACCCCACTTCCTTTAACCTCCACTGCTCCCTTCTCGGAATCTACAACCCACAACTCCCAATTCCATCACAAAAACAACAAATAAAGCAAAAAACACAAAAACATTGGAGCGGCAGGGAGTCGAACCCTGGACTTCATCGAGCATTAGTTTTCAGGATCTCTCGAAGAGAGAGATTTTTGAAGTTGCAAACGAGGCACTCTACCACTGAGTTACAGCCCCTTGGTTGATTGGTTTTTTGATATTGAATAAGATGGGAGAGGGTATATGGCTGAAGTTTGAGTAGGGTGGGGTCGGGGTGAAGTTTGGGTTTTTGGGCTTGGTGGGGTGAAGGGGGGGAATGAACACTGAATAGATTTTTGGGGTTATACTCTATAGTAGGCAAGCTTAATGTGTGTATATAAAATATTCGCAGTTGAGAATACACTCTGTACATACTACCGGTATAGCCCTATTTGGATTTTCCTTATATTCATTCGTTATGATCGTGAGATGATTTATTGATATTATGTTATGTTACTAGTATCAATGAATGAATGAATTTAATAGTGAATTTCGTGAATTAGATAGGGATGCGAGATTTTGAAGGGTTGTGGATGAGGTCAGAGTAGAATCATTTAAAACAATAAGAACTTATATCCAGTCTGCTAGCTACGGGACACGCTGCATGAATTTCACAAGATAATATAGAGAAAGAAGTTCGGTAGATTACTTAATTAACCTTTAGTATACCTACCTAGATACATAAATATGGTGAATGGATCATCTAGCTTGAGAGAATGGACGGGATATATAAATCTTTATATTATATGTTATATCTGCCTTGGTCACTGGCTGTTTGTTCTCTTAAATAGATTTCAGAAGAATACTATTGGTATTCACCACCAAGGTATCTTTTACTGGTATTCCGTGTTTTAGATGAGGCACGAAAACTATCGATTATGTGAGTTTACAGTGTAAAATATACCTCAATCTGGTCACAAGCATGAACATTCAAGAGGCCATAGTCATAGGCTGAAAGACAAAGTATAATTTTAATTACACTATTGCTGAACAATTCTGATTTGTCTTATTATACTCGCTGTAATCCTGTAAAGAAGCTTGAACTTTGCTCTTTGCTGATATAAGATAGAAGACAAGCATTATATGTTTACCCTGTCTCTTGGATCGAGTCTGCATCCAAGGGATTTGCCGAATTGAGGTCTGAATTCCTTTTCTCGTTGCGATGTCCTTGCCCAAAAAAAAACAGCCATTCCAAATCTACGCTCTGCTTAAATAATGATTTGGCTGATATTTACACTCATCAATACATTGATACCCTCAAAACATGTAACCGTCCTGTCTTATTTGTCTGAATCCTTCCAGCTTCATCGACACCGCAGATTACGAAGATATACAAAAGGTGAGTCTACAAAACTATCACCCTAGATTTGCGTTCGCGGGAACTTGGGAGTAGTCTTCGAGTCTTGTATAAAGGGATCGATTAGTCCTTGAGGGTATCATCCTCACTGTTGAAATTGTTAGATTTTGGGATCCGGTCTCGAATCTGCTGTGAAGACGCTTGAAGAGCTATTCCTTCATTCATCATCGAAGGGGTCTCTGATATCTCATCATCCAACACCGTGAGAGCCTCGGAGTCTATTATTACCGTCCTCAGATTTCTCTTAGCTGATCTCTTGGTGCTACCCTCAGAGTACTTTTGCTTGCGTGATCTCTTTCCTAAAACTCCTCCAGATGAACTATTCATTAAAACTCCTTCTAGATTTCGACTAGCAACGAAGCTATCAGAAATTTGAAATCGAGCACCTGTTATAGGGCATTTGTCGTTGCGGGCATGGATGTGAAATTCGCAGGTACGGAATGATCCACTGGAGAAAGATTTTGGCCATTGATGGAAATGATATGTGAGCTGAGCTCGGAAGATATCACATGCAAACTCGGGAACCTCTTGTGCGACTCTCAGCAATTTACATTCGCTTGAGCTTTTCAAGGCTGGTATCCCCCTTTCTAGACTTGGACAGAGAGCCCAGCACGCAATTTTGACAGCGACAAACCAACGTAGCTTCGATGAAGCGTTTGTCTTGTTATACAAACGTTTAATGTCCCATTCATGTGGAGTGCCCGGCGTGATAAATAATAGATCCATAATTTTATTTTGAAGTTGATTGACCTGGAATTTGACTGCAACATAGTATAGCTCGAGCAATGACGATGTCTCGGGTATAGGAGAGCCTGGAGCGCAAATGCTCTTGTAAGTGAGAAAATGAATGAAGTTTCCAAAAACATCACATTCCTCTTCCATATAAAAATTGAGGTTCTTGTCCTCCTCGGGCTGATTGTCGTAAATATTCCGAAAGTACGGGGAGGCTTTATATAAAATGTCAAAAAACATTTCATATATCGCCCTGGCCTTCCCTACAAATATTACGGCGATTTTCATCTCTAGCTCTCTGAGAAATGTTAGGGTCTGGGATTGGAAGTGGGAGGAGCATATCACTCAGGCTCTGGAGGCATTGCAGCTAATTCAAGCTCGTCCATGGATAGGACTTTGTGAGTACTGGGTGCATGTGGCTGAGGTTGGAATATAGGAGCTTCAGACGGGGGTATTTGCGGCTGAAGTGGAATGAATGTAAATGTAAACATTGTAAGACAATCTTCCGGGCTTCAAGATATATTTCCAAAATGTAATACTTGTAAAGTCGCGGTGATGAAAGTAGAATATAATAATAATAATAGAACTAAAATTTGAATTGAATAGTGAATTCGTAAAAAAAAAATTAGAAGATGAAGTGTTGCATCGTGGACATTGAATAATCCAATCAAGTAGAATGGGAAATTGCATTCCTCTTAACCCATTCAGAAGGAAAGGATGGAAAGTCTGAATATGCTTTCGAGTTGCCGAAGTTTATCGCATTGACAGCTTTGAGAGGTAATGACCCCAATGGCACTGCTCAATTCTGGGGCTGGAAATTTAAAGCAGCAGCGAATGAGGCAATAGGACACTGTATCCAGCAACTAGCTGGACATGATATTTTCGACAATGAAATCATTCAATTTGCAAGATACTCTGTTTCTATTCGAAGCACAACATGTAAATCACAAGTAAAGGACTACCTAACACAATGAAGGAAGGGGGGAGATTACTACCAGTAGCCCTTCATGGACCATATATCAGAGCCGCCAGTGGGCCTGATCTGGGGTGTCTCCTGTAGTAACCTTATGTGCTTGCTGCTTCAGAGTTACAAATAAAGTAGGTCTGACATTGAGTTGTTCATCGAGGGTATTCGATTATAGATAGATGTGAATATTTAGAAATTGAAATAGAGTCTCGCTCGTGTGATGTTGTTTTGTGAAGCTTAAGGGGGGAAACATTTTCTTGCTTCATCGTTCGTAGATTTGTAATCTTTAACCTTGACCATAAGGCATCAACATTTTCTCAATTCGCCCAATTCACGATATCCATGCCTTGACATCAATTTCAACAGTCACTCCGAGTTCAACTCCCACAGTCCTCAATATGTCTATGTTTCGAGCTAAAAAGCTCGACTTAGGATGCTTCATAAACATCAAAGTCATTCGTGACCATACCAAGCGGAAAGTGTTCGCTGAGTATGAGACTGAAAGGTACGTTCTTCTCTTTCCAATTCTACCTTCCTCAATATTTGAACCCTCCTGCGCCTTCAGTCTATTGTCCACTTTAGCAAGTCATGAATATTCTTGTTCCTATCTGTCTCGGTCTATACTGAAGCGCCAATGGCTGACATACAACTTTTCTCAAAAACAGACAAGCCCTTCGCTACATAATCCGCAATCTCTCACTATCCCCCCGTGTTCGTTTTCAAGCACAACTGGAGTTGACACAAATGCATTGTTATACAAGACCAACTCAGATCAGGAATAGATGTATTCTTGGGGGTAAGGGAAGAGGTATCTTGAGGGATTTCAAGATGTCGAGGGTATGTGCTCTTTTATAATGGCTTCAGGATGTAACGGGATGAAAGAATGGAAATAGGCTATGCGAGCTATGCTGATCATATACTTGTGACTACAGTACAACTTCAGAATGAATGCGCTGTCGGGAGATTTACCTGGTGTCAAGAAGGCTAGTTGGTAAAGAGTGGATATTCTGGCTGAAAGAATGATGGAGTGAGAGGAAACAAGAGATATATGAACCTGCGAGCAAGCACCGAAGAAATCGAAAGCTACGAGCCCGATTACGAATGTACGATTGTAGGAAAACTCAAGACGTTTGATGTGTAACATATACAGGCGTGGGGATGAAGCTTGCTTTTGGCACCACAGATGCGGATTTAGAGCTGGTAGGTGGGGTGGGAAGAAATGAATGAATGAAGAACAGAAGTACTTTATTTGTTGTACCTGGAAGTCATATAGGACTCAGATTTCTATGCATTTCTGAATAGATTTTTGTTTGCCAAATATTTGAAGTCATGCAAAACATCATTTCTAGGCCAGGTTGTAGATAACCCGAATCTCAACCTTCAGTGGATAACAAGATATAAAACATCTTCATATGTATGCAAAGGCTGAAAATCAGTGATTCTAAATAGGTGGCCATCATAAGAAGATTCATCATTGTCGACATCATTGATGTATGCTTTTCAAAGTACTATGGTTTTTTCGATTCTCTTCTCACAACTGCAGTTACCCGATTTATTTTTATACATAGCCTTGCAGCAAACTTTCATTTCCGTCCTCTCTGCCACCCTTATTACTGCAAACACAAACAAATCCATCAAACAACCACCACCATCAATATAGTATAGAAATTAAGATGAGACTTCAAAGTTGAGCACTATCTATCTTCTCCAAAATTGATTTGTGATATACAGATTCACTTCTACACCTTTTCAACTTCAGTATTGAGTTTCACTTCATTCACTCAGTAGATTGACTTTCCTCCATGACCCCTCTTTCTCGTGATTTTTAACATCTTCTCAACTTCTTCTCAAAGCCATTTCCCCTCGACTCAACTAAAGTCAATTTGACCTGTTTGTGAAGACTTTCAACTCGAAAATATACTTCAGCATAATATCACCATGTTTCGTCGACTTCCATCGGGTCTTCCAAAAGATCCTAAATTTGAACCTACTTTAGAAGGACTTGGGTATGTATTTCATTCATCATTTCTATATCCATATATTCAAGCTTGCGGAGATTTCTAACTTATGCTCAGATACTTCATCAATGAGAAAGATGAGATC